CGAGTTGTATATTGGAGGATTAATGGTATCAGAGGAGTTCATTATTTAATGAAAGTTATCTTGGAGGATTTTATTATTATTCTAGTTTTCATTTATGTATTTTATTTATTCTTATTTATCCTTTTTGTATTCTGTCTTTGTTTATTGCCAGTTTGTTTTGATTTCTCTGGGTGTTCGAGCGTGGGCCTGGCCAACACATATTTAGAAATCCGGGGGTATCACAAGAGGCCTCTTGCTGCTGTTTGTTGGTGCTGAAACAAGCTTTAGAGGGTTAAATTCACTTGGAACTAGTTCTGGAGCTGTGACAAGGTTGAGGCAAGTTTGTTCTACTATTTTACAGCTTTAGAAACTAAGTTCTCATGTGTATTACTGTTGTAGTTAATGTTGAGGTTTGATACCTATAAACACTTGTTGTTTTTTGGTTTAAGCTTTTGTTTTGTGTTAACCATGCCTGAATCATGTTATGAGTTGATTGCATTTCCATTAAGCATGAATATTTTGATGAATTGAAGCTGCTGAAGTTGGATCTTTACCAGAAAATTGACAAATTCATTTCTTGCCCTTAAAAACCAAACCTTCTAGGGTTTTAAGCTAAATTGTCTGTGATTTGAGGTCTTAAAGTATTATACCATGCCATTCTTGTCATATTTCACCATTGAACATGTGTATACAGTTATTACAAAATTGATAGACCAAAATCCAGCTTTGTGTAGAAGTGAAATATCAAATTTACCCATGTGAATAGTGATTCAGCTGTTTATTGACTAAGACCTGGTTTTTGCTACATTTTGAATTGCCCTTACTATACATTGTGAGTTTATTGTTTTAGCAAGGATATCTTTAAGATAGAAGACTGTGTAAATCATCTTAAGATCTATTCTAATGCTGCAATCAACAATGGACACTCAGTTGTCCTGTTTGAAGCTTGTATTTAAAAAGCTGATTATACAAACCTTGATAGTTGAGGTTCTCTGTTTGCATAAGCTACTATATTAAGCTTCGCATTCTGTTACCTTGCTCTTAACATCTTGTCTATCAAATGAACAAGTGTATAACATCATTTAGGAGCTGTGTAAGCTACTAATTAGTCTATGTTGTGGTCAGTACTTGTTTACCTCTTTGAGACCAGGTTTGTTCAAGTATTTTGCCGTAATCTATTCTTCTATGCATTGAATGTGGTATACCTTGTCATAAACTCTGAGTTTATCATTTAGACAAGTGTAACTTAACTATTGAAGACTGTGGACATCTCTGTTGGGGTGATTCTAAAGCTGTATTGTAGTGTATCTAATAAAATTTTGGTAGCTAGGGTTTGCAGACTTTAAGCTTGTTTAAGTGCTTAGAATATCATATCTTGTTGTGTTCATTATATTTACTATTTGAGCAAATGTATTTTGGGGTTTCAAGGCTGTGATATCAGAGAGGGTTTGTTGTGAAACTGTGCTGTGAAATGTCCTAACTACCCTTAGAATTTTGTGTGAAGCTCGTTTAAGTTATGGTCTGGATTTTACTTGTTGTACATTAACTATCATTGTGTTTGAGCATGCATGTCATATTTAGATAAGGTTATGGAAACCTAGAGTGAGCTGCTATTGAAGTTGCAGTGGAGATTAACAGATATATCCTATTGTTGTAGAATTCTTCTGAGCTAGGGTTTCTCATTCCTTGTACTTTGAGCTATGTTCTGATTCTAATGTTTTGTAACAACCATTGTATTATCTTATTTTACACCTTTTCATGTATTTGGTGAGCTGTGAGAGCTTTTGAGGTCCAAGCAAGGTGATGTGGACAGGGGGAGTGCGAAGTGCACTTAGTGGACTAGTGTGTGTAGAGGTTGTGAAAACTAGTGTCTTAACTTGTACAAGGGTATGTGCAGAGTGTGAGACAACTGAGTGTGTAACTACTTGCATACAACTAGTGGAGATCTTATTGGGCTGAAGCCAAGAACCAAGGTTTTTCCCTATTGAGAGGGTTTTCCTTGTAAAAGACCTTGTGTACTTGTGGACTGTTTATGTTGTGCTCATTGTTAAGTTGAATGATTGAAGATGGATATGATCGAAAAGAGAGAAAAAAGTATCATAGACCAATTCACCTCCTCTCCCTCTTAGTCTATCAAATTCAATACAATGTACTATCATACACAAGTGTATTATGATATAATACATGTGTGAAAAGACTTAATTTCCCCTGAAATGCTCTATAGCCAAATTGCCCTTAAAATGCTTTATAGTTAAATATCAAGTTATGTGCTAGGGATTGTAACCCTAATTGGCATGCAAAATGAGTCTTCAACATAATGTACCCTTCTTATACCATTTAAATAGTCTTCTTAGCAATGTGGAATGACCAATCTGCCCATGAAGATCAATAATATGCACTATACATGTCAGAATCACTTAGAGCTAAATGTAGTGAACCTATGACATATTTTTGACATTTAAAAGGCAAACCCTAATTCAAAGGTGAGACCAACAATCTCCCCCTTTGCCTTTGAATGTCAAAAACCAAATTATGCTTGAATGTCAAAAAGACACTTAAACAATTGACGACGGCCGTTCCAATACGCCAAACTGAATGTAGTGAATGTGTGGTTCAAGAAAAGCCTTTTATGTCAAATTTAAATTTATAAAAACCACTACCAACACCACTACTAACGTAGCAAGAGTGAGTAGGGATCGTCCCAAGGGATTATACGTGTTGGAATTTCAACTCCGACTCTAGCGTACCAAATGATTGCAAAAGAGAGTTGGGTTGGTTGATTACTTCTAGAAAAGAATTAATTAAAATGCAATAAAAATAAAACTAAGTAGAGATAGGGATTTAAGAGATGAGAAGAGAGGACTTAGGGTGTTGGAATCACCACTAAGCTCATGTAATTAACCACTTGCTTTCCATTAATGGGGAATATATTGTTGTGAACAAAATTGGTTCGACTAGCAAAGGTGACTCAACAAGTGTATAATGTCTAAACAACATGTGAAAGACTACAATATATCTATTGGATGAAGAATATATTGTCTAGACAACATGTGAAGAGAACAAAATATCAAATCAAGTCATTAAACCTTTCATTAAGCTCATAGTCCAAATAATTCACAAGGATGACTTAGTTAAACATGTATTGTCTAAACATCATGTGAGAGGCCACAATATATCTATTGGGAGAGGAATATATTGTCTAAATACATGTGAAAGATACAATATATCATAACAAGTCATTAATCCTTCATTAAGCTCAAAATTCCATTACACCACAATATTAGAGCATATGCTTCTTGCATTCAAAAACATGGAACATCAAAGAACAAGCATGAATTGTCTCCCCCATCTAACACTACACTACAACTACACTACTAGCATGAAAATAAACTAAGGGAGAGGTACAATCCATCAAGGAATAAGTATGAACCATCAAAAGACATAACAAGAGCATTCCATTAAGCACTAATGTCTAGCCATCACTAGATTCTCAATCAACCACACATAGACATGCAATTAATATAGAAAAACTAGTATAGAGATCAATTCCCCAAATAATCACACATAAGACAACATATAATTAAAATAGAGAATCAATGGAAGAATTAACCCATATAAATCATGTGAGACATAATTCCTAATTTAATCACACATAGACATGTAAATAAACTAGAGAATTAATAGGAAGAATTAGACCATGGAAATCATAGAAATATACCAAGATTCATGAAATTCACAAGGCTAGAACACTAATCACAACAATATATATAAAAATCCCCAAAAATAGAAATACAAGGGTTTAGATTACACAAGACTTAGGGCTCATCCAAGCCCTAAGTGTAGATCTAGTCAATCATGGAGGAGGTGGATGTAGTCATGGAATCAAGCTCCAAACATGGCTCCATCTTCTTCTTCCTCTTCTTCTTCTTCTTCTTTGAAGCTCTAGAGATAGAGAGATAGTGGATTTAGAGATGTGTTCTTGAGATGTGCCTCCACTTCTCTCTTTCTTCTAACCCTAATCTCTAACTTTTCTAGAGAGAGAAATAAAAATTACAATCTAGAAAAATAAAAAATGATAAAAGCTTAAAAATCCTCCTTTTACAAATGGGTTGCTTCCCTTTATATAGAAGGTCCTTTTCTTAGTCACTAAGTCTAGAATATATGCCCAAAAATATCTAATCCCGCAACTTTTTGGTAGGTGAACTTTTGGGCGCGCACGGAACATGTCCAGTTCGATCGATCCAACTTATTTTCAATCGATCCAACTTTTTCGATCGATCCAACTTATTTTTCAATCGATCCAACTTTTCTGATCGATCCAACTAAAAGTTCGATCGATCCAACTTTTCTGCGATCCATCCAACTTTTCAGCTTTTTAGTATCAGCTTCTTTTTGCTCCAAATCAGCCTCTTTTTGCTCCGGATCATCGCTAAGACTTAGTTTGACTCCAAAAAGGCCTTAAGAACTCATTTTTAGCCCATTTTAACATTATTGACCTGAAATAGATAAAAACACAAATAAGTACTAACACGGGTAAATAAGATAGATAAAGGTCCTAGAATACTCAAGCTTAAGGGGTTTAAATGTGTACTTTTCAGCTCTCATCAACAATCAACAATGTACCATTATAACAGTAATGAAAGCATACCAGATAATATACATATCCTTGATTAAGGTCTATTTCTCCCCCTTTTTGACATTGAAAGACAAAACATGAAAAGACATGTTAAGGACTACAAATGATTAGAAACAACCCCAAGAAGATCTCTGAGGGTTGAAAACCTCTGTGGTAGCAATGGCCTTGTCATGATATTTGCAAGTTGATCTTCTGTTGGAAGATAAGTGATGTCAATAAGCCCTTTTTGGACCTTATCCCTGAGAAAGTGGTATTTGATATCAATGTGTTTGCTTCTCCAACGCAATGTAGGATTCTTGCTAATGGCTATAGTACTTTGATTATCATAGTAGAGCTTTGGAGGACTTGAGAACGGAATGACCAGGTCTAAAAGTGTTGTCTTCATTTATAGTAATTGTGAACCAGCTTGTGCAGCAGCTATGTACTCAGCCTCTGTAATGGATGAAGACGCTGTGCTTTGTTTTTTACTAAGCCAAGAGACCATGTATGAGCCAAGAAGGTACCAACAGCCTGAAGTACTCTTCCTATCAGGTAGAGAACCACTGCAATCTGCATCAGAATAAGTTATAATAGGCAAGGAGGGTGAGTAAAGATAGTGAAGACCATAGGAGAGAGTTCCTTTGACATATCTGAGGATCCTTTTGGCAGTTTGTAGGTGAGAAGCCCTTGGATTGCTTTGAAATCTTGCAACTAAGCCCACATAATACATAATGTCAGGTCTAGAAGCTATGAGATACAGCAAACTACCAATAATGAACCTATAAAGTGTTGAGGGAACATTTTCTGTGGTACACTCAAGTGTAACCTTGGTATTAGGGCACAAAGGTATGGAAACTACATTGTTTTTAGCCATATTAAACTTCTTGAGTAACTCAGTGGCATACTTCTCTTAAGAGATGAAGATGCCAGTGAAGGATTGATGAATTTAAAGGCCTAAGAAGTACCTTAGAGTGCCAAGCATGGACATTTCAAACCTTATTTTCATATGGTTTGCAAATTCAGAGGTCAAAGAGGAATCTGAGCCACATAACATGATATCATCAACATAAATCTGCAGGATTAGAAAGTTGATGTATGTATCATCAATGATAAAGCCCACTTGCAATAGAACGAATCATTGTAGGATAGAGCTATGTTGAGAGTGTCGAACCTCAAGGACTGTGGTGAATTGTTAAGTATAAAATTAATCACTAATTTAATTTAGAAAGAAGATTTATTTGTTTAATTTGATTATGTATCAATAACATGAAATGTAAAAATAACGAATTTATCAAAAGATTGAGATCAAGAGAAGAAATACTTAGGGCTTGATTTCACCACGAACTTCATAATATGGTTAATTGATTCGACCTTAGGGATTTTAATAATTATGTATGATCAAGAATTAAATGAATTAACATCCAATTTCATTTAATTTCAAGAAGATAAATCATAAATTTATGTTAAGCAATAACCTATCTTCGGTTGGTATGAATTATCTACCTAACTACTCTAAACTAAATTGCAGTATAATTTGCCTTCCCTAAGTATAAATTATCAAAACATTCATTCACAATACAATTTGAGCACTATTGCATGATCACTATCCATATCGTTATGAGAAGCCCTTAGCCGCCAATCTCAAACAATAAAAATAGTTCGGATTTGATTAAAATAAAATCAATTCTAAGACGAGATATTAATTTAATCAAAAACTATTTTTATTTATTAAAACTCTAATTTCTTAGAAATTCTAAGTCAATTGATCATAATCATGCAATTAAAATACATAAATAATGAAAATCCCCAAAGTTAAAAACAATCAAACCATATTATTTAGATTCGGATTACATCAATGCCCTAAGAGAAGATTTAGCTACTCATGAAGATGGATGATATCATCGTTGTTGGTGTAGAAAGCATCTCCATGGACTGCAATTCTTCTTCTTGGGATCTTCTTCTTCAATCTTCAAAGAGAACTCCAAAAACCCTAAAAGCAGCTACGAGATCTGAAAATTGCCAGAGTTATTTCTTTGTGACTTTACATCTTCTTTTATAGGAAAAATTGGCTCCTATTTTTTCTTGGATGGGCTTTAGGACTTCTAGGGTCATCTGGGCATGTTTGGAACTTAAAAAGACAAGTTTAATAATAATCCCACATTTAAAGAAATTTCAGAATCAATAATATGTATGCATAAACCTAAATGGTGATAGATGAAATTCAAGTGTGATTCTTACCTTTAAAGCTTATACTTGAGAAGATTACGTCATTACCTTTCAAAGTTGTTCTTAGGACTAATCTGCCCCTTATAGTACAACTCTAGACTATTTTGCCCTTGTGATGGTTCTTAGACTATTTTGCCCTTTGAGGTAGAACTCTGAACTATTATGCCGTTGTAGTAGTTCTTGGACTATTTTTCCCTTTGAGAAATAACTCTGAACTGAATTGACCTTTATAGAAGTTCTTTGACTGGTTTGCCCTTTGTAGAAGATCGTGTACCTTTTTACCCTTTTGATATAACTTTCTTCAAGTAACTTTGTCTTCACACTAAAATCATGTAACGTATTCTATTTTTATCTCACTTACTAAGCACTAACTCATTAAATTACAGGCCAGGATTGGATTTTGTACTACAAAAATTTTCAATTACAATATTAAAATTGCTAAATTTCTAATAGTTGACATTGTGGGGAGTGGGTATGTCCAGCAACCACCCTGCAAGGTGGCACATTCTGAGGCAAACAACACATAGGTGGTTGTCAAACACCTATGAAGCACGAATATGGGACACGGGTACAATACGACATGGATAGAGCGATAAGGCAAATTTAAAAAAAAAAAACAGGACACGGACATGGACACGGAAAGGATATGGCAATAAAATAATAATATATTATAATATATATTTTACTTTTACTCAATTTCTAATTTATATTTAATAAACATAACTTTTAGGCCCATTATTCTCTTGAAAAATATAGGCCCAAATACCTTGAAAATATACACACACACACATATATATATATATATAGAATTATTATTTTTATAACCGGTTCTAAAAGGTAAGATTGCAATCTTATCACTTCTTTCTACCCTAGGGTTTTTATTACCTTTTTTTAAGCGGTTATCTATAGGGAATGAGACAGCAGAGGGGAAGCTTATGCTTCCAAATAGGAATTGATCGCAAACAAGCAACCTATTTTCGAAGCTTTTCATCGGCCAAAAGTCTAAAAATGCAAGTTCTCTCTTCTCCTGGAACCGACTTTCTCATCTCCACCATCCCTCTCCCTTAATCTGTCTTTCTATGAATACACACAACCATATACATGTATGTATATTTCTCTTTATCTTCTTCTTCTTTTTTTCTTTTTTTTTTTTTTTTTTTTTTTTTTTTTTTCAAAAAATTTGAACCCCATGTCCTATACGTGTCGCCGGCGTGTCTTTCGCCATGTCCGGCATGAAAAAAAGGAAAAAAAAAAATTAGGTTACCTCTACAGAGGTGTCGAGTGTCGAGTATAACCGCCTATTCTCACGTGTTGGTGCATCATAGTCAAACACACTTTGAGGGGAAGTTTCCACCAGTTCATAAGGGAGGCATTAACAGAAGTGGGTAGTTGCTGGGGCAACCAACCAAGACACTTGGCATGGGTTGGCATATGTCAGCATGCTTAGTAGTTGGGGCTGTCAATTGCAATGTAATGCTGGCATGCACCAGCAGGGGCGGCTCAATCTAATTTTAGGCTTTAGGCGAAAAATAAAAAGTGGCCTTTTTAACCATATAAATAAAATTAGTCACAACTCAAAAACAAAATATACAAATATATATACACACAAATTTATAATAATAAAAGTTAATAAAATTAAAAAATAATTAAAGAAAATAAACCATTGAACCTGATTTAAAAAAAAAAAATTAAAAAATAATTAAAGAAAAAGAACCATTGAACCTGATTTAGAAAATCAAAATCCAATATTTTTACAAATTTTTCAATGGACTAAATATGCGTTCATAACAACTATAAACTTGTAATGAAGACTTATTAAAAAAAAAAAAAAAAAAAGATTATGGAAAGTTTTCGCCATTTTTCCAAACAACAACATATAATATTTTACTATTGGTGTAACTTACCCTAAAATATTTTTAGTATTAGTGCAAAAAAAGTGAATGAGAGAGAAAGAAAGAGGGAAAAAAAAAAATTATGATACAAATTTTTGAGCCTAATATTAAATTAAAATCGAAACTAGTGTGGAGGGACAAAAAAAAAAAAAAAAAAAAAAAAAAAAGAAGAAGAAGAAGAAGAAGAAGAAGAAGAAGAAGAAGTTATTTTAGGATATAAATCTTTGAGGGCTAATATAAATTTTTTATATTTATTAGAGTTTAACAATATTAGGAAATAATTATAGAATAACTTAATATAAGAAAATTTTAAATTTTTGGAGCCTTCCTAAATCGCTTAAGGCTCGAACCGGCCCTGTGCACCAGATGTATCAACACTTGTATATCCTAGGTGGAGGGCATGTCTCCACCAATGGGGTGGGTAGTTTTGAGAGTTGCCTATATATAGGCTTGTGGAGTCTGTATCAAGTGAGATTTTGTGAGTTGGTGAAGAGAGTGTGCATTGTAATCTTGCTGCGGACGTTGGTCATTTCCTTGTATTATTTGTGAACATAGTAAAAGGTTGGGAGCCTTGGGGCTTATTTAAATCGTGGTGTGTGCTTTACATTACTGCTTTAAAATTACTTGTGTAGGAGTGTTACTTGGTGCGAGTTTATAGGCACCGAGTGTGGGTTGTCTGGATTTGACCAGGGTAGACGGCAGGGCTGGTTGATTGCCATCATAGGGCAAAAATTTCTGGGGTAGAATTTACCACGGTGACATTTAGAAATATATAACTAGTAGTTAATTGAAGTAGTGTTTTTTTTTATAAGGATAATTTTTCTTTTTTTTTTTCAAATAAATTAAAATTAAGGAGTATATAAAGAAAACAGTCTCGTCCTTGGATTAAGAGAATTGGGAAAATGGTGTACTGAATACATTAAGACTAATTTTTTTAATCTTTTCCACAAGGGATAGAGATGGTGGGGTTAATCTTTCAAACAACCTTTTTACAGGGGAGTGTGTTTTGCACTAGTTTTATAACCAGTGATATTATATCTAAATTGTTACCACTTTTTTTAATAACAAAAGATAATGGAAAAAAAAAAATTCCTCCTTTTTGTTATAAGTAAATCACAATCTCATATTATCCCTTTGGGTTATACTTCAACCTTAATTTTTTCACTTGTAAACAAAAGGCCATATTATTTTAGTTGAGCTTTTTTTAAGACTTACCACTTGTTTTTTTATCTGTTTTATATTTGTAAATTTTGCAATTTTTTTTCTTACTTTTGTCTTCTAATTAATCATACTAACATATAGGGTGCGCCTCTCGCATCATGAATATTGTAGACACTTTGAGAAATTAGGCCATAAAAAATGTTGAGTTTCATAATATTTAAATAAAATTTAATAAGTGGCCTTTTCAAATTTTATAAAGCACTGTAATGAAAGATTTTTTTTTTTTTTGAAAGTTTGTACTTGAAGAAAAATGTCCACACATGTATATAACATAATTTAAAATTTAATTAGCATCAAGAATATGGCTAATTAGTAATTTTACCTATATCCTTTGTTTCTTTTTCATTGTCGCGTAACAACTACGTGGACCCATCTTATTAAAGTTTAATGAAATACAAAACTCAAATGAAACACAAATTCAAATGAAATACTACAAATTTCAACTCATATGAACTATGGTGACCAGACCGGGCCATCATTTCTTCCGCTAGCCCTCTCTCTCTCTCTTTCTTTTTCTCTCTCTAACCATGCATCT